TACGTAACCTGCTGTATAAGCAGGGTCCTCCTGTACAGCAGTAGCCTGGTACCTAACCTCCTGTATAAGCAGAGTCCTCCTGTACAGCCGTAGCCTGGTACCTAACCTGCTGTATAAGCAGGGTCCTCATGTACAGCAGTAGCCTGAATCCTAAGCTGCTGTATAAGCAGGGTCCTCCTGTACAACAGTAGCCTGGATCCTAACCTGCTGTATAAGCAGGGTCCTCCTGTACAGCAGTAGCCTGGTACCTAACCTGCTGTATAAGCAGGGTCCTCCTGTACAGCAGTAGCCTGGTAACTAACCTGCTGTATAAGCAGGGTCCTCCTGAACAGCAGTAGCCTGGTATCTAACCTGCTGTATAAGCAGGGTCCTCCTGTACAGCAGTAGCCTAGTACCTAACCTGCTGTATAAGCAGGGTACTCCTGTACAGCAGTAGCCTGGTACCTAACCTGCTGTATAAGCAGAGTCCTCCTGTACAGCAGAAGCCTGGTACCTAACCTGCTGTATAAGCAGGGTCTTGTACAGCAGTAGCCTGAATCCTAACCTGCTGTATAAGCAGGGTCCTCCTGTACAGCAGTTGCCTGAATCCTAACCTTCTGTATAAGCAGGGTCCACCAGTGCAGCAGTAGCCTGAATCCTAACCTGCTGTATAAGCAGGGTCCTCCTGTACAGCAGTAGCCTGTAACCCAACCTGCTGTATAAGCAGGGTCCTCCTGTACAGAAGTAGCCTGGTACCTAACCTGCTGTATAAGCATGGTACTCCTGTACAGCAGTAGCCTGGTACCTAACCAGCTGTATAAGCAGGGTCCTACTGTACAGTAGTAGTCTGGTACCTAACCTGCTGTATAAGCAGGGTACTCCTGTACAGCAGTAGCCTGGTACCTAACCAGCTGCCTAAGTAGGGTCCTCCTGTACAGCAGTAGCCTGGATCCTAACCTGCTGTATAAGCAGGGTCCTCCTGTGCAGAAAGTAGCCTGGAACCTAACCTGCTGTATAAGCAGGGTCCTCCTGTACAGAAAGTAGCCTGGTACCTAACCTGCTGTATAAGCAGGGTCCTCCTGTACAGACAGTAGCCTGGTACCTAACCTTCTATATAAGCAGAGTCCTCCTGTACAGCAGTAGCCTGGTACCTAACCTGCTGTATAAGCAGGGTCCTCCTGTACAGCAGTAGCCTGGTACCTAACCAGCTGTATAAGCAGGGTCCTCCTGCACAGCAGTAGCCTGGTACATAACCTTCTGTATAAGCAGAGTCCTCCTGTACAGCAGTAGTCTGGTACCTAACCTGCTGTATAAGCAGGGTCCTCCTGTACAGCAGTAGCCTGGTACCTAACCAGCTGTATGAGCAGGGTCCTCCTGTACAGCAGTAGCCTGGTACCTAACCTTCTGTATAAGCAGAGTCCTCCTGTACAGCAGTAGCCTGGTACTTAACCTGCTGTATAAGCTGGGTCCTCCTGTACAGCAGTAGCCTGGTACCTAACCAGCTGTATAAGCAGGGTCCTCCTGTACAGCAGCAGCCTGGTACTTAACCTTCTGTATAAGCAGGGTCCTACTGTACAGCAGAAGCCGGGATCCTAACCTGCTGTATAAGCGGGGTCATCCTGTACAGCAGTAGCCTGCAACCTAACCTGCTGTATAAGCAGGGTCCTCCTGTACAGCAGTAGCCTGATACCTAACCTGCTGTATAAGCAGGGTCCTCCTGTACAGTAGTAGCCTGGATCCTAACCTGCTGTATAAGCAGGGTCCTATTGTACAGCAGTAGCCTGGTACCTAACCTGCTGTATAAGCAGGGTCCTCCTGTACAGCAGTAGAGTGGTACCTAACCTTCTATATAAGCAGAGTCCTCCTGTACAGCAGTAACCTGGTACCTAACCTGCTGTATAAGCTGGGTCCTCCTGTACAGCAGTAACCTGGATCCTAACCTGTTGTATAAGCAGGGTCCTCCTGTACAGCAGTAACCTGGATCCTAACCTGTTGTATAAGCAGGGTCCTCCTGTACAGCAGTAATCTGGTACCTAACCTGCTGTATAAGCAGGGTCCTCCTGTACAGCAGTAACCTGGATCCTAACCTGCTGTATAAGCAGGGTCCTCCTGTACAGCAGTAGCCTGGTACCTAACCTGCTGTATAAGCAGGGTCCTCCTGTACAGCAGTAGCCTGGAACCTAACCTGCTGTATAAGCAGGGTCCTCCTGTACAGCAGTAGCCTGGTACCTAACCTGCTGTATAAGCAGGGTCCTCCTGTACAGCAGTAGCCTGGTACTAACCTGTGTATAAGCAGGGTCCTCCTGTACAGCAGTAGCCTGGTACCTAACCTGCTGTATAAGCAGGGTCCTCCTGTACAGCAGTAGCCTGGAAGCTAACCTGCTGTATAAGCAGGGTCCTCCTTTACAGCAGTAGCCTGGAACCTAACCTGCTGTATAAGCAGGGTCCTCCTGTACAGCAGTAGCCTGGTACCTAACCTGCTGTATAAGCAGGGTCCTCCTGTACAGCAGTAGCCTGGAACCTAACCTGCTGTATAAGAAGGGTCCTCCTGTACAGCAGTAGCCTGGAACCTAACCTGCTGTATAAGCAGGGTCCTCCTGTACAGTAGTAGCCTGGAACCTAACCTGCTGTATAAGCAGGGTCCTCCTGTACAGCAGTAGCCTGGATCCTAACCTGCTGTATAAGCAGGGTCCTCCTGTACAGCAGTAACCTGGATCCTAACCTGCTGTATAAGCAGGGTCCTCCTGTACAGCAGTAGCCTGGTACCTAACCTGCTGTATAAGCAGGGTCCTCCTGTACAGCAGTAACCTGGAACCTAACCTGCTGTATAAGCAGGGTCCTCCTGTACAGCAGTAGCCTGGATCCTAACCTGCTGTATAAGCAGGGTCCTCCTGTACAGCAGTAACCTGGATCCTAACCTGCTGTATAAGCAGGGTCCTCCTGTACAGCAGTAGCCTGGTACCTAACCTGCTGTATAAGCAGGGTCCTCCTGTACAGCAGTAGCCTGGAACCTAACCTGCTGTATAAGCAGGGTCCTCCTGTACAGCAGTAGCCTGGATCCTAACGTGCTGTATAAGCAGGGTCCTCCTGTACAGCAGTAACCTGGATCCTAACCTGCTGTATAAGCAGGGTCCTCCTGTACAGCAGTAGCCTGGTACCTAACCTGCTGTATAAGCAGGGTCCTCCTGTACAGCAGTAGCCTGGACCTAACCTGCTGTATAAGCAGGGTCCTCCTGTACAGCAGTTAGCCTGGATCCTAACCTGCTGTATAAGCAGGGTCCTCCTGTACAGCAGTAGCCTGGTACCTAACCTGCTGTATAAGAGCAGGGTCCTCCTGTACAGCAGTAGCCTGGATCCTAACCTGCTGTATAAGCAGGGTCCTCCTGTACAGCAGTAGCCTGGAACCTAACCTGCTGTATAAGCAGGGTCCTCCTGTACAACAGTAGCCTGGATCCTAACCTGCTGTATAAGCAGGGTCCTCCTGTACAGCAGTAGCCTGGTACCTAACCTGCTGTATAAGCAGGGTCCTCCTGTACAGCAGTAGTCTGGATCCTAACCTGCTGTATAAGCAGGGTCCTCCTGTACAGCAGTAGCCTGGAACCTAACCTGCTGTATAAGCAGGGTCCTCCTGTACAGCAGTAGCCTGGATCCTAACCTGCTGTATAAGCAGGGTCCTCCTGTACAGCAGTAGCCTGGTACCTAACCTGCTGTATAAGCAGGGTCCTCCTGTACAGCAGTAACCTGGATCCTAACCTGCTGTATAAGCAGGGTCCTCCTGTATATGGGCCAGGAAGCATGAATCGACCCGTGCAACCACAACACAAACACATCCACATATACATGAGCTTCCAGCTTATAAAAGAGTTGTTTCCAGGGTTTGAAATAAACATAAAACATAATAGGCCTACACAAGAAAACCTCATAGGTCTACACAACACAATAAGCCTAACTCAATACAACACAATAAGGCTACACAATACAATATGCTTACACAACACAATAAGCCTACACAACACAATATGCTTACACAATACAATAAGCCTACACAACACAATATGCTTACACAATACAATAAGCTTACACAACACAATATGCTTACACAACACAATATGCTTACACAATACAATAAGCCTACACAATACAATATGCTTACACAACACAATATGCTTACACAATACAATAAGCCTACATAATACAATAAGCCTACACAATACAATAAGCCTATACAATACAATAAGCCTACACAATACAATAAGCCTACACAATACAATATGCTTACACAACACAATAAGCCTACACAACACAATAAGCCTACACAATACAATAAGCCTACACAATACAATAAGCCTACACAATACAATAAGCCTACACAACACAATAAGCCTACACAATACAATAAGCCTACACAACACAATAAGCCTACACAATACAATAAGCCTACACAATGCAATGAGCCTACACAACACAATATGCTTACACAACACAATAAGCCTACACAACCAATAAGGCCTACACAATACAATGAGCTACAAAATACAATAACCCTACACAACACAATAAGCCTACACAATACAATAAGCCTACACAATAAAATTTAAGCCTACACAACACAATAAGCCTACACAATACAATAAGCCTATACAACACAATAAGCCTACACAATACAATAAGCCTACACAATACAATAAGCCTACACAACACAATAAGCCTACACAATACAATAAGCCTACACAACACAATAAGCCTACATAATACAATAAGCCTAGACAACACAATAAGCCTACACAATACAATAGGCCTACACAACACAATAAGCCTACACAATACAATAAGCCTACACAACACAATAAGCCTACACAATACAATAAGCGTACACAACACAATAAGCCTACACAACACAATAAGCCTACACAATACAATAAGCGTACACAACACAATAAGCCTACACAATACAATATGCTTACACAACACAATAAGCCTACATAATACAATAAGCCTACACAACACAACAAAATACTTACAGCCTTCTCGTGTTGAGGAAGAGCCGCCCACAGTTTGTTCAGTTTCTTATTAACTGTGACGAGGTCTGAAACATACACAGAAAAAAAAATATGGAGTAGAATATATGAAATTTATCGGCAAATTTCAACATGGAACAAAAATATACTTCTGATGATGTTTTATCATAGCAATATTTTCCATAATAGTGGATGAGAATAACCATTCTTCCCGCACTTTCTTTGAGTCATATAAAGCTAATTTCCAATAAGCATGAACGTAATCCTGCATACCGTAATACCTGGAGGTATACCTGGAGGTTGTTCTGGGGGTCAACGCCCCCTCGGTCAAGCTCGCTTCTAAAGCTTCTCTATCTGACGGGATTTCTCGTAAATGTGATTGAAAAACTGCATCCAAAATTTAATAGCACAGAATGTGCTATTCTCCATGGGGAAGTGGATCAGAATTCTTCCTCCGTAAGCCATGCGTGTTGTAAGAGGCGAATAAAATGCCAGGAGCAAGGGGCTAGTAACCCCTTCTCCTGTATATATTACTAAATGTAAAAGGAGAAACTTTCGTTTTTCCTTTTGGGCCACCCCGCCTCGGTGGGATACGGCCGATGTGTTGAAAGAAAGAAAGAATGTGCTATTCAACTTTCAATGCACCTTTCATCACATTTACTAAAAATGCACTAGAGCTAAGTCTCAGTTAGTGAATAGAGCAAATTTAGTGCAAAATTAGTTAAAGCTAGTTTTCCCCCCAAAACTTTTTAAATCGTGCATAAAAATTACATAATGCCGAGGCATGATAGTGGCTCTCTTTGCACTACAAATCATTGTAAACCCTCACTGTAAACTACCTATGTAAATATACTTCGTAAAATAAGCCAACCACATTGTAAACTTGCCAGGAAATAAAGGAATTTGAATTTGAATAATTCAAATAATACAACCACTTCTGAGGATTCACTATAGGTACTAATCGAGACCTGGCTGTATAGAGAACTTTACGAGAGAGATTTCTGAACCTATCTGTAATCAATAAAGTAGAGTGGACCCCCGGATAACGATCGGCTCCCAACTCGACCAATTATGTAAGTTTATTTTTGTAAGTGCTTTTGTAGGTGTATTTTTAGGGGTCTGAAATGGACTAATCTAATTCACAATACAGTGGACCCCCGGTTAACGATATTTTTTCACTCCAGAAGTATGTTCAGGTGCCAGTACTGACCGAATTTGTTCCCATAAGAAATATTGTGAAGTAGATTAGTCCATTTCAGACCCCCAAACATACACGTACAAACGCACTTACATAAATATACTTACATAATTGGTCGCATTCGGAGGTAATCGTTATGCGGGGGTCCACTGTATTTCTTATGGGAACAAATTCGGTCTATAACGGCACCCAAACAGACTTCTGGATTGAAATAATATCGTTATGCGGGGGTCCACTGTATTTTTTTTATTAACCCCTTCAGGGTCCAAGGCTCAAATCTGAAGTGGTGCCCCAGTGTCCAAGAATTTTCAAAAAAAAAAATTGGTCATTTTTTCTTATGAAATGGTAGAGAATCTTTTTGTGAAGGTAATAAAACAAAAAGTATGAAATTTGATGGAAAATTGACGAAATTATGCTCTCGCGAATTTTGATGTGTCAGCGATATTTACGAATCTGCAATTTTGCCAACTTTGACTCCCATTTTAGGCCAATTACATTATTCCAGTCAACCAAATTCTTAGCTATTTCACTAGTATTCTATTCTATCGATTGAGCACAAGAAATTGCCAAATCAACTGTTTCAACTACAAATTAAAGTGATCGGAAATTGTTAATTTGGCCAATTTAACACAAAGTTCAAAATATTCCAATTTCAAAATAGGGTCCAGAATAAACAATGTAGGTATTCCTGGAACTAAACTAACATTTCCTCTGTTCATTAGTTACGTTTTGAGGCTTTACAAATAAATTCCATTTTGATTTTTTTATTCACATAATGAATTTTTATTCACACCAAAAAATAGAAGATTTACTGTTATGCAATACTGTAATAATTGTATAAATATCATCACCATATTTGTGAATGTATATTACACCCACCAGCTGGCGTGTATTAGACGTGTGAGGTCGTTTGTTTACTCTTGAATATCGGCAAAAATTTAACATTTCTGCTACTTTGAGCTCAGTTTCAAGCCATTTCCAGTGCTAAAACCAATCAAAATCATCTCTATTTCTGTAATATGTCTTCCATTCTATCAAATGAGACCAAGAAATTGCAAATAGAACTATAAAAGACATACGAAAAAACACTGCGAAGTTGCTGTTTTAATCGAAAAATCATGATTTCAGTTTTTTTCTCTCATTATACACAGCATGCTGCAGGATCTGTTTTATGTGGTGCACACATACCACATAGATGTATTCTCTCATATCTAGGCCCAAATGTACCACTCTCAGTTTATCAGAGTGAGCTGAGCTCATGACGTAGATCTACGGTTTGGACCCTGAACGTAAAGCCGTAGATCTACGGGACGGACCCTGAAAGGGTTAACACACTGGCCATTTCCCACTAATGCAGAGTGACCCAAAAAAGAAGACACACTCTCATCATCATTCACTCCATCGCTGTCTTTACAGAGGTGTGCTTTACACTACAGTTATAAAACTGCAACATTAACACCCCTCCTTCAGAGTGTAGGTGCTGTATTTCCCACCTCCAGGACTTAAGTAATCACAGGAAAATACATTACATAGTTTATACAACAGTACTTTTATTATAACCTTATTACTGATGCTAATACTCATGCACCACATAGTGTTTCAGTCAACGATGGACGGCATATACAAAGGTCGCCCCATAAGATTATTACGGAGGTGAAAAATTCACGGACCCCCAACACTGAAAGGTTTTTCTCCCTTTATTTCTACAAGTACATGTACAAGGTATACAGACCATAGCTGACATCAATGACATGCATGTACAGTGAAACCTTGGTTTTCGTTTGCCCAGGTTTTCATCGAATTTGGTTTTCGACGGCTTTTTTCGTCAAAATACTATCCCAGTTTTCGTATGTCGCTTTGGTTTTCATTTGTAACATGTCCACATGCCCACGCCCACACAAAGCATCCCATGTACGCATTCTGAGTCAGTCTGGCTTTGCTTCTTGTCGTGTGAACATTACCCTGGGCATTAACCCTTTGAGGGTTTTGGTCGTACTAGTACGTCTTACGAGTAGGGGTTTTTGACGTACTAGTACTCATAAATTCTAGCGGTCTCAAATCTAGTGGGAGAAAGCTGGTAGGCCTACATATGAAAGAATGGGTCTATGTGGTCAGTGTGCACAGTCTAAAAAAAATCCTGCAGCACACAGTGCATAATGAGAAAAAAAAAACTTTGACCATTTTTTTTTAATAAATCAGCGACTTTGCAGTGTATTTTCGTATGGTATTTATTGTTGTATTCTAGTTTTCTTGGTCTCATTTTATAGAATGGAAGACATATTACAGAAATTGAGATGATTTTGACTGGTTTTACAATGAAAGGTGCCTTGAAATTGAGCTCAAAGTAGCAGAAATGTTCGATTTTTACCAAACTTCAAAAGTAAACAAATCGTGCCAAGCGTGCAATACACGTCAACTGGTGAGTCTAATATTCTTTCACAAGTGCACCAATAATATTTATACCATTTTTTACACTAATGCAGTAGTCTGCATAACAGTAAATCTTATATTTTTTTGTGAGAATAAAAATTCAAAGTGGAAAGCCAAAGAATATAAGAGGGGCCTTGAGACGTGACTAATGGCTAGAGGAAATGTCATTTTAGTGCCAGGAATGTCTTTCTTGTTTATTCTGGACCCTATTCGGAAATTGGCATCTTTTGAAATTGATGAAATAAATGGGTGGTTTCTTGCACCCATTCGATAGACAAAACGGAGTTCTAGCGAAATATTCATGTTTTTTGTCGACTAGTACAGTGAAATTGGCCGAAAATGGGGCTCAAAGTGGGCAAAATCGCCAATGCGTAAACATCGCCGAGACCGCTAACTTTGCGAGAGCATAATTCCGTAAGTTTTCTATCAAATTTCAAACTTTTGGTGTCTTTATGATCGGGAAAAGATTCTCTATCATTTCATAAGAGAAAATAATTTTTTTTTTTTTTAAATTTGGCCGACCCTGAGAACGAGTTTCGGAGAGGGCCTGTCGACCCTCAAAGGGTTAATACGAAACATTTTGTACTAATCAATTGTTTTTTGTGCTTGTTTATTGAGTGCCACTGCTAAATATGCCACCATGGGACCAAAGAAAGTTCCGAGTGCCAGCCCTTTGATAAAGAAGGTGATAAACATGATAGAATTCAAGAAAGAATTCGTAGAATGAGTTGCAAAGTTTTGTGGAGAAATATCACTACAAAGGTAGAGGGTGGTAGTGATGGTGGTAGTAATTATGGTAGAGGGTGGTAGTGATGGTGGTAGAGGGTGGTAGCGATGGTGGTAGAGGGTGGTAGCGATGGTGGTAGAGGGTGGTAGCGATGGTGGTAGAGGGTGGTAGCGATGGTGGTAGAGGGTGGTAGTGATGGCAAACAATTGAAGATGTGGAGAAGTTGTTGTTGGTGTGGATCAATGAAAAACATTTAGCGGGAGATAGTGTTGTGGAGGCGATAATTTGCAAAAAGGCCAGGCAGCTGCATGCGGAACTCACATAATTTCCAAATATTATAAGATTATTTCAAAAATAAAACGGTCTCAATCTCATTATGCAAAATGTGCCAAAATATAATACTGTAAGTTACTAATCAATTACTTGTTAATTCAATTACTGCTAAACCACTAACTGCCCCTGTTGAAATATAAAAAGACAATGTAAAGTAAAAGGACACAAGTGCAACTAATGTGACATTTTACTGTGGCAACGTTTCGCTCTCCAGGAGCTATGTCAAGCTGTTACGGCTTGACATAGCTGTAATAGCTTGGCAAAGCTGTTATGGCCTGACAAAGTTGTAATAGCTTGGCAAAGCTGTTACGGCTTGACAAAGCTGTAATAGCTTGGCAAAGCTGTTACGGCTTGACAAAGCTGTAATAGCTTGGCAAAGCTGTTACGGCTTGACAAAGCTGTAATAGCTTGGCAAAGCTGTTACGGCTTGACAAAGCTGTAATAGCTTGGCAAAGCTGTTACGGCTTGACAAAGCTGTAATAGCTTGGCAAAGCTGTTACGGCTTGACAAAGCTGTAATAGCTTGGCAAAGCTGTTACGGCTTGACAAAGCTGTAATAGCTTGGCAAAGCTGTTACGGCTTGACAAAGCTGTAATAGCTTGGCAAAGCCGTTACGGCTTGACAAAGCTGTAATAGCTTGGCAAAGCTGTTACGGCTGTTACAGCATTTTAGTCGCCTCTTACAACACGCACGGCTTACAGAGGTAGAATTCTGTTCCGCTTCCCCATGGAGATAAGAGGAAATAAACAAGAACAAGAACTAGTAAGAAAATAGAAGAAAACCCAGAGGGGTGTGTATATATATGCTTGTACATGTATGTGTAGTGTGACCTAAGTGTAAGTAGAAGTTGCAGACGTACCTGTAATCTTGCATGTTTATGAGACAGAAAAAAGACACCAGCAATCCTACCATCATGTAAAACAATTGCAGATTTCTGTTTTACACTCACTTGGCAGGATGATAGCACCTCCCTGGGCAGATGCTGTCTACCAACCTACTACCACAGAAAGGTAGTACCTCCCTGGGTAGTTGCTGTCTGCCTGTCTGCCAACCTACTACCACAGGACCATAGTACCTCCCTGGGCAGTTGCTGTCTACCAACCTACTACCACAGAAAGGTAGTACCTCCCTGGGTAGTTGCTGTCTGCCTGTCTGCCAACCTACTACCACAGGACCATAGTACCTCCCTGGGCAGTTGCTGTCTACCAACCTACTACCACAGGACTGTAGTACCTCCCTGGGTGGATGCTGTCTACCAACCTACTACCACAGGACTGTAGTACCTCCCTGGGTGGATGCTGTCTACCAACCTACTACCACAGGACTGTAGTACCTCCCTGGGTGGTTGCTGTCTACCAACCTACTACCACAGGAAGGTAGTACCTTCCTCCCTGGGTGGTTGCTGTCTACCAACCTACTACCACAGGACTGTAGTACCTCCCTGGGTGGATGTTGTCTACCAACCTACTACCACAGGACTGTAGTACCTCCCTGGGTGGATGCTGTCTACCAACCTACTACCACAGGAAGGTAGTACCTTCCTCCCTGGGTGGTTGCTGTCTACCAACCTACTACCACAGGACTGTAGTACCTCCCTGGGTGGTTGCTGTCTACCAACCTACTACCACAGGACTGTAGTACCTCCCTGGGTGGATGTTGTCTACCAACCTACTACCACAGGACTGTAGTACCTCCCTGGGTGGATGCTGTCTACCAACCTACTACCACAGGAATGTAGTACCTTCCTCCCTGGGTGGTTGCTGTCTACCAACCTACTACCACAGGACTGTAGTACCTCCCTGGGTGGTTGCTGTCTACCAACCTACTACCACAGGACTGTAGTACCTCCCTGGGTGGTTGCTGTCTACCAACCTACTACCACAGGACTGTAGTACCTCCCTGGGTGGTTGCTGTCTACCAACCTACTACCACAGGACTGTAGTACCTTCCTGGGTGGTTGCTGTCTACCAACCTACTACTACAGGACTGTAGTACCTCCCTGGGTGGTTGCTGTCTACCAACCTACTACCACAGGACTGTAGTACCTTCCTGGGTAGTTGCTGTCTACCAACCTACTACCACAGGACTGTAGTACCTCCCTGGGTGGATGCTGTCTACCAACCTACTACCACAGGAAGGTAGTACCTTCCTGGGTGGTTGCTGTCTACCAACCTACTACCACAGGAAGGTAGTACCTTCCTGGGTGGTTGCTGTCTACCAACCTACTACCACAGGAAGGTAGTACCTTCCTGGGTGGCTGCTGTCTACCAAACTACTACCACAGGACTGTAGTACCTCCCTGGGTGGTTGCTGTCTACCAAACTACTATCCAGGAAACAATTTATCAGTACTGTAAATGATACCTCTAATTACTCACCCATGTCAGGGTTGCGCTGAAAAAGTCCACCTTCTTTAGCCCAGAGCAAACATGCCATTCGCTTCAAATTCTGAAAGAAAATAAAGCAAAACATCAAGTGCAAATTCTTGCAAGTAAATTAAGTTTTACCAAAAATAAGCAAGTGTTCAGGTCACCCTTAAGTCAGAATATATGATAGCATGATAACAGTGGTAGTTAGGTTGTGAAGTTATACTAAGTAACAGTAGTTCTTAGGTTGTGAAGTTAGACTAAACGAATACATAAAGTGTAATAAACACCTGTCAATGCTTAATAATAACCCACATGGAGAAACTCAGGAGATTAATTAATCTGCATATTTCAACCCCCTGCTGGAGTCCTCTTCAGCAGATACACAAGTCAGGTCAGCATGATGATCTGACCTGTGTATCCACATTAGGTCAGATCAGGTCAGTGCTGACCTTATGCTCAATGCTCACCTGCTCAGTGAGAGACGCAACCTTCCTATTATTACATTCAGAGGGGCGGTGCTAAACTCGTATGGGCCCCACAGTGTTTAAGGGAAATACATGGCAACCAGGTTTGATCCAAATGGAAGGGAAGCTCCAATTCTTCGAATCAAGAGCATCCCCTCATCAAATCAGTTCGAAAAAATATATCATACTTACAAAATTCTTCACCATCTCGTATATAAACTACTATATGTGATTATAAATTGCACAATTTGTTCATTATCTACCTTTGTTATTGTACACGTGTTTGTAGTTACCGTATTTCACGGCATGTAAGGCGCACAGGTGTCGGCTGGTTGCTGGCAATGTTGCCAAGCAGTTGTAACGCAATGTTAGTAAACAACTGTGTAGCCTTGAGCCTACCCTCGACCCTCACCTTAAGCAAATAAGACACACAACAATTTTCCAAGATTTTCTTGTGGGAAAGAGTGGGCCGTATATGCCAGAAAATATGATAACTGCGTAAGAAATTCTACTGAATAATTCATTTTTAGTCTGCCCAAAATGAACTGTATACAGTGGACCCCCGGTTTACAATATTATTTCATTCCAGAAGTATGTTCAGGTGCCAGTACTGACCGAATTTGTTCCCATAAGGAATATTGTGAATTAGATTAGTCCATTTCAGACCCCCAAACATACACATACAAACGCACTTACATAATTGGTCGCATTGGGAGCTGATCGTTAAGCGGGGATCCACTGTACTAGTGACTCTCTTTTGTCTCTAAAATTATTTTATTATACATAAACTACATTGTATTACGACACGAAAACTACATTATTTTATTACACGTAAATTACATTAACCCTTTAACTGTGTCCGACGTACTAGTACTCATTGCTGTTGTTGATTAGTCATCATTTTTTCATTAAATTCAACACACTATACAATCATAAGTTTTCATCAGATTTTGCTCATTTTAGTCTGATTCGATTCAGAAAAGCAAACTCTTATCTAACTATAAAAAACACTATTTCTTTTTATTTTTAAACATCTTCCCACAGTTGACAGTTTTAACTTCCTAATAAAGTGATCAGAAATCAGTAATTTAGCCAATTTCATACAAAATTCAAAACTTCCAATTTAAAAATAGGATCCAGAATAAACAATGTAGACATTCCTGGGACTAGAAAAACATTTTCGCTGTTCGTTAGTCACGTCTCCAGGCCCCTCTTATATTACACTTGCTTTCCATTTTGAATTTCTTCTCGCACAAAAAATAGAAGATTTACTGTTATGCAGACTACTGCATTATTGTAAAAATTGCATAAAAAATGTCAGTGCATTCCTAAATGCATATTAGACTGGCAAGCTGGACACGTATTGGACGAGTAATGTCATTTGTATACTCTGGAATATTGGCAAAAATTGAACATTTCTGCTAATTTGAGCTCAATTTCAAGCTACATTCAGTCCTGAAACCAATTAAAATCATATCTATTTCTGTAATATATCTTCCATTCCATCAAATGAGACCAAGAAACCAAGAATGCAACTATAAAAACCATACAAAAATAGACCACGAAGTCGCCGTTTTAAACCAAAAATAGTGTCGCAGTTTTTCCTCAATTTGCACTGCTTGCTGCTGGGCTTTTATATGGCGCACACTTACCACACAGACCCATTCTTTCATATCTAGGCCCAAATTTACCGACCACACAGACCCATTCTTTCATATCTAGGCCCAAATTTACCGATTACAGCTTATCTGAGTGAGCTGAGCTCGTGGTGTAGTACTACGGGACTGACACAGGCTTCAAAGCCGTTACATAACGGGACCAACACCACAAGAGTTAAAGAACAAAAAGGCACAATAACGTGACTGGAACAATACACAAATAACCCGCACATTGGAAAGAGAACCTCATGACCATTGTAAATGTTCCAAGGTGGAACAAAAGGCCGTCATACGCTGCTTCTATGCAAACTAAATTATTTTTGTATAGCAAAGTACCGTCCTTGAGGGGACAAGAGCTACTGCCCAACACACTACATACCTCTTCCTCCTCCTCCTCCTGGTAATTCTCCACCTTTTGCCATGTATACTGTAAAGAAGAAAATAAAGTGAAACAAATGATTTAGAAAACTGACAAGTTGAAGAATGAGACACATGGACTGATGAAACCACCAGCCAGTGGCTTTATCAGTCTATTTACAGAGAAAAACCGAGAAAGATGAGGCGTTTGAGGTCATCAGTCCCTCAGCCTGGAGTCGACTGATGGACTGAACACATTGACTCCAGGCTAAGGGACTGTTTACCTCCAACCCCTCCTAATCCTCCACTGTTTTTCTCTGTATAGGACTGAAGAAACCCCTGAATGGCAAAACGTTTCCTCAATAAAGATTCCCAAATGTTACACAGGTGTCTTATTCTTCAAGAAAAATACAATTTTATTAATACTATTTTCTATACAAACAGCATATAAGTTTAAATCTGACTTGCATTTAACAAATTCTATTTTCTTTATTAACATATTTAAAAAGTACATAAATAGGTGCTCCCTGCTTTACGATGGTTCAACTTACGATATTTCAACTTTGTGATGATTATCAAATGGTATATAATACCGACAGGTTGGTAGATAAGACACGCAGGCAACATTTAGGCAACTTTATTCCGAAACGTTTCGCCTACACAGTAGGCGGGAGCAGTAGAGATGTGAAGATGATGCAATCAGTCCATCACCCTTGAAGTCGTAGAATTTGAGGTTGTCAGTCCCTCAGCCTGGAGGAGTTCAGTTCCATAGTCAGGAACTATCTGAAGATCAAGTGACAGTGTTGAGACTTAAATACTGTCTGAAGGAGAGGTGCAGAGTAGTAGTAGTAGTGAGAATGTAGCCACTGAGAGGTCATGTCCCTCTCAGATCAAAGAGTTCTCACTTGAAAAAGTTGTCCTGTGTAGGTGAAACGTTTCGGAATAAAGTTGCCTAAATGTTGCCTGTGTGTCTTATCTACCAACCTGTCGGTATTATATACCATTTGATAATCACTCTGTCAGACACTGCAACACAATGGCATCTTGGTACAGAAGAGAAAACACCTTGGACAACTTTTTCAAGTGAGAACTCTTTGATCTGAGAGGGACATGACCTCTCAGTGGCTACATTCTCACTACTACTACTACTCTGCACCTCTCCTTCAGACAGTATTTAAGTCTCAACACTGTCACTTGATCTTCAGATAGTTCCTGACTATGGAACTGAACTTCTCCAGGCTGAGGGACTGACAACCTCAAATTCTACGACTTCAAGGGTGATGGACTGATTACATCGTCTTCACATCTCTACTGTTCCCGCCTACTTTCTGTACTCGACTGAAGAAGCCTACTGTGTAGGCGAAATGTTTCGGAATAAAGTTGCCTAAATGTTGCCTGTGTGTCTTATCTACCAACTTTGTGATGGTTCGACTTATGATACTGCAACTTTATGATGGTTCAACTTACGATATTGCCACTTTATGATGGTTCAACTTACGATACTGCAACTTTATGATGGTTCAACTTACGATATTGCCACTTTATGATGGTTCAACTTATGATGTTTTGACTTAACGAAGATGTGATAAAACTGTAAATCTTTTTATTTTCTCTCCTGTTTATTTATTTACTCATTTAGCATTTCAAAGCCATATTTAACCCTTTCAGGGTCTGTGCCGTAGATCTACGGCTTTACGTTCAGAGTCCAAACCGTAGATCTACGTCGTGAGCTCAGCTCACTCTGATAAGCTGTGAGTGGTAAATTTGGGCCTAGATATGAGAGAATACATCTATGTGGTATGTGTGTACCACATAAAACAAATCCTGCAGCACACAGTGTATAATGAGAGAAAAAACTGAGACTGTGATTTTCGATTAAAACAGCGACTTCGCAGTGTTTTTTCGTATGTTTTTTATAGTTGTATTTGCGATTTCTTGGTCTTAATTGATGGAATGGAAGACATGTTACAGAAATAGAGATGATTTTGATTGGTTTTAGTACTGGAAATGGCTTGAAACTAAGCCCAAAGTAGTGGAAATGTTAAATTTTTGCTGATGTTCAAGAGTAAACAAACGACCTCACACGTCTAATACACGCCAGCTGGTGGGTCTAATATACGTTCACAAATGTGGTGATAATATTTATACAATTATTACAGTATTGCATAACAGTAAATCTTTCATTTTTTGGTTTGAATAAAAATTTATTATGTGAATAAAAAATCTAAGTGGAATTCATTTGTAAAGCCTCAAAACATAACTAAGGAGCAGAGGAAATGTTAGTTTAGTGCCAGGAATGTCTGCATTGTTTATTCTGGACCCTATTTTGAAATTGGAATATTTTGAACTTTGTGTTAAACTGGCCAAGTTACCAATTTCCGATCACTTTATTTTGTAGTTGAAACAGTTGACTTGGCGATTTCTTGTGCTCAATCGACAGAATAGAAGTAATACTAGTGAAATAGCTAAGAATTTGGTCGACTGGAATAATGTAATTGGCCTAAAATGGGAGTCAAAGTCAGCAAAATTGCCGATTCATAAATATTGCTGACACATCAAAATTCGCAAGAGCATAATTTCGTCAATTTTCCATCAAATTTCATACTTTTTGTTTTATTACCTTCAGAAAAAGATTCTCTACCATTTCATAAGAAAAAATAAAAAAATTTTTTTTTGAAAATTCTTGTATCCTGGTGCACACTTTGAAATTTGGCCTCTGAACCCTGACAGGGTTAACTTACGACATTGTCAACTTACGACGGGTTCGTCGGAATGTAACCCCATCGTAAATCAAGGACCACCTGTATTGCATTAACCCTTTCAGGGTCCGTCCCGTAGATCTACGGCTTTACGTTCAGGGTCCAAACCGTAGATCTACGCCATGAGCTCAGCTCACTCTGATAAACTGTGAGTGGTACATTTGGGCCTAGATATGAGAGAATACATCTATGTGGTATGTGTGCACCACATAAAACAGATCCTGCAGCACACTGTGTATAATGAGAGAAAAAAAATGAAATCATGATTTTTCGATTAAAACAGCAACTTTGCAGTGTTTTTTCGTATGTTTTTTATAGTTGTATTTGCGATTTCTTGGTCTCATTTGATAGAATGGAAGACATATTACAGAAATAGAGATGACTTTGATTGGTTTTAGCACTGGAAATGGCTTGAAACTGAGCTCAAAGTAGCAGAAATGTTAAATTTTTGCCGATATTCAAGAGTAAACAAACGACCTCACACGTCTAATACACGTCAGCTGGTGGGTCTAATATACATTCACAAATATGGTGATGATATTTATACAATTATTACAGTATTGCATAACAGTAAATCTTCTATTTTTTGGTGTGAATAAAAATTCATTATGTGAATAAAAAATCAAAATGGAATTTATTTGTAAAGCCTCAAAACATAACTAATGAACAGAGGAAATGTTAGTTTAGTGCCAGGAATGCCTACATTGTTCATTCTGGACCCTATTTTGAAATTGGAATATTTTGAACTTTGTGTTAAATTGGCCAAATTAACAATTTCCGATCACTTTATTTTGTAGTTGAAACAGTTGACTTGGCGATTTCTTGTGCTCAATCGATAGAATAGAAGTAATACTAGTGAAATAGCTAAGAATTTGGTTGATTGGAATAATGTAATTGGCCTAAAATGGGAGTCAAAGTCGGCAAAATCGACGATTCGTAAATATCGCTGACACATCAAAATTCGCGAGAGCATAATTTCGTCAATTTTCCACCAAATTTCGTACTTTTTGTTTTATTACCTTCACAAAAAGATTCTCTACGATTTCATAAGAAAAAATAACAAATTTTTTTTTTTAAATTCTTGGACACTGGTGCGTGACTCCAGATTTGGGCCTTGGACCCTGAAAGGGTTAAACAAGACTGTTTTGTTGACAGACGGATTGGTTTTAAAGTCTGATTTACGTGGGAGAGGAAATCTTGTCCCTGAAAAAAAAAATTAAAATAGCTAATTTGTAAGTTAGGGACTTGGTCGTTCTAGTAACGAATGTCAGTAGTGTTACTGTGTACTGTGTAGTATACTTAGATAATCCCAGCTACTTTATGGACATAATGCCAAGGCATAATAGAGGCTCTCTTTGCATTGCATCCCACTATTGTATATACACAATCTCAATGTACTGTGCAAAGACATTAAATAAATAAATAAATAGGCTCCCTTCTAGCGGTGACATCACAAGATCCTCACACCTGAGTGGTGAGCAAGAGGCCCAGAGCTCAGTCATGGAGTTCCACGCTAGGCATACACTAGACTCGACAGGCAGGCCTGAACTATCCTCAAGACTCTCTTAATTATACGCCTCCAAGACATCCGTGTGTATTTCTCACTCCAATATCTCCTGACAAACCCCCACGACACAGAGAACAAACTATGTAGCAGTACTAGCTGTGATATTTATTGAGCACCTGGACTGTTTAAGTCACTCAAAGTAGGTAGTAGTGGTAGTAATAATAGTAGCAATAGCAGTAGCAATGGTAGTAGCAATAGTAGTAGTAATAGCAGTAGTAATAGCAGTAGTAATAGCAGTAGTAATAGCAGTAGTAATAGCAGTAGTAATAGCAGTAGTAATAGTAATAGTAGTAATAATAGTAGTAACAGTAGTAGTAACAGTAGTTGTAACTGTAGTAGCAACAGTAGCAATAGCAGTAGTAACAGTAGTAATAATAGTAATAACAGTAGTAGTAACAGTAGTAGTAACAGTAGTGTGCAGTGTGTTCTCCATGAATCTGCACAAGATGTCCTCTCTTGAGCATCTGTACCAGCAGCTGAAAGAGGAGCTTAGGGTTGCTAAGCTTGAGATACGGCGACTGACGGGGAGGAAAACAAGAGGATTCGAAGTAATCTTCCTGTTGTGAGTCCTCAGGTCAAGACAGGAACTTGGTCAGTGGCCGGCCAACATGGAACAAAGCTGAAAATCAAGAAGTCTGTTGGAGTGGCGGAAACAACGAAGATCCAGAAGATTGCTGTGGAGACTTCCAACCCATTTTCGGTTACCAGACGAATGTGGATTGTCTACTGGGAACGTCACAACGAGCACCAAGGGAGCATTGGCAGACGTGAATGAGACATCCCTTGATACCCCAATGAAGA